TCTGTGTCCTAACCATTAAGTTGTTATCAGAGCATTAGCATTAGCATTAGCATCTGTAACCCACAGGTCTGTGTCCTAACCATTAAGTTATTATCAGAGTAAATACCTGTTCAACATGAGTCTGACAACTAAGTAAGTAGATGAATAACTTTAGACTTTAACACATGCTCTGATAGACCGGGATCGGATCTGATGGGAAGTGAAAAAAGCTGGATTGGGATATCTATAGGCTTGAATAGGCTTGTCCCGATCCGATATTTGTCTCGACCGCTGCTATTTGCAAAAAACTGCAAGAAAATGCAGATCCAGACTTCCGATCCAGTTCTTTTTAAAAGTTGACTAGTTCCAGGAGCGACTCCTGTGTTAAATATTGGTGTGTTGGTTCAAATCTCCCATCAGAATACTCTGTAAATCCTAGAATTGGTTCCAAAAACCTACGATAACTCCTTAATAAATACTGCAGATAATTACACATAGCAAGAAAACAAATGACTTCTAGAAGAGAGATGGAAAAAGAAATAAATGATAAAGAAATAATCAATAAAAAGGGTTTAATGTCCCTTTAGCTCAGAGACTGAAGAACGGAGGTAGAGGTGGAGACTGAGATACAGGACCAGCCCTAACTCACTCTGACTTTAGACAGGAACTCTACACCAACTTACAATAGTTATATTTATTTAATTTTTATATTTTCTATATATTTTTCTGTGACTTCGATGTCATACGAGTCGAATATTTGATCAAATTTCACTTTGTATGTTGGAAAATTCGTACATTTAGGCCTCGTAATAGAGGTTCTGCTGTACTGCAAATCATTTGACATTTAGATATACGATGAGTGTGTTTTTGAAACGCAGGTTTCTGACAGACGACGGGAATCTGAGCCAGCTGGAGGCGACTTTGTTAGCAAAGTGCTCGTTATTTGTCACCAGATGAATATCAGACGGAGCAAAGTAGGCAGATGGAAAAATGAGTCACCCTGCTCCTCTCAGCCTCCAGCTCAGGGTTCTCGCTCCGTCCCTGGATTTTATTCAGAGCTGAATGTTTTTATTCTCTTCAATGGTGTCAAAGTCAAACACAAACCCTCACGTTGAGCCCTGGGAACACACACGTCCTCTGTAACCCAACAAAACTCCTCCACCATCAGCTTCATTTATTAGAACAGTGTTTTTCAACCTTTTTTGAGCCAAGGTACAGTTTTTCATTGAAAAAATCACGAGGCACACCACCAACCAAAAATGTTAAACAAATCTGTAGCCGCCTATAGTAACACTATAGTTATTCTTATTTTATTCTTATCTTATCTTAAGTGTCTTGAATAGGAATCAAATAAACACAAAAATGTATTTTTATCATATTTTATATGTCTTCTTTCAAATTGCTCTTAACATGTCCACTTCAATATACAAAATGATAAACAAAATCTAGTCATAAGGAATTATTACATGATTACTCCACCAGTCACTAGAACAGCACAGACAATTAGAAATGGAATATTATTTGCAGAAAATTATCAAATTTTTTTTTTAGACTAATTAGGTGAAATAGGATGATTTTCTACGGCACACCTGACCATCATTAACAGCACACTAGTGTACCGAGGACCAGGGGTTGAAAAACACTGTATTATAATCTCAGGAATGTTCTGTATAGCAGGTTTAAAGATCCCAGCTGTGGTTTGGATGGTCTTCCCTCTAGGGTTGTTAAAAGTGTCGATACTCAAAAAAGTATTGATAATAAAACGTTGTATCCGGATACATTTTCTCTCTAATTTATTTATTTACGTTGTTTATGACCATTAACGTGATGTTAGCCTTGAATTGCTAGCTGCGGCTAATGGCTAATAATAACACGCCAACATTAATCAAGTCTGCAGGAAGCCAAGGATGGATATCCAACCCCCCCACATCCAAGTCGGCCATTTTGATTAGGTCACTAATAAGAAGATCCCAGGCAAGAAAATCCTAATTGCTTCATGGAATTATAGACATTAATTTAAAAATAGTGAAATGAATCTTGCAAACACTGAATTAAACTCTATCCATAATATTATGTTGAAATAGTGGATGTTAAATAGGTTTGTACAATAAGTCCAAACAAGTTTAACCAAAAAATATTTATTTCACACAATCATGAAGGGTGGAGGGTTAGGGTCAGGGTTATAGTTAGGGTTAGGGTCAGGGTTAGGGTTAGGGTCAGGGTTAGGATTAGGTTTAGGGTTAGGGTTAGGGTCAGGGTCAGGGTTAGGGTTAGGGGTAGGGTTTAGGGTTAGGGTCATTAATGTTGGCCACCATAACATCAGTAACAGGTCATTTTGAAACCAAAGACACTATCCTGTCAAAACTCAGTTTCATTTTTGGGTCTTTGTTTTTATCCTTGTGGAATCCAAAATGGTATTGAATATTGAATAGTTGAATAGTTGAACAATTTAGTATGGTGACAGCCCTACTTCCCTCTCAGATAAACCGTGGAGAAGCAGACAGATGTGTTTGCTGGTGATTAGCTGTTAGCCATCATCTCCTCTCCTCTCCTCCCCGGAGTGTGTTGTAACTTGGCTGCTTATGTAACGGCTTCTCCCGATGACTCAACACACTTCAGAAAACTCTGATGAGGGAGAACATTTCGCTGCGTTCTGACAGAAATCATCCAATTCCAACTTCAAAACTCCGGCCTCCCTTTCATCGGCTTATTTATACGCTTGTTTATGTCAACACATCCAGCTCATTCTGGTCCCATTCCACCTCCAGCACAGCTCCGGCTGACTGGAACCTCCCTTTATTGTAGATTTTTATTCTTTTTGTGTAGTTTTCTGTGTTTGAGACGTTTGCTGTTAGTTTCTGCTGATGGAGGACTGTTCTTTTTCTTTTAAAGGACTCCATAAACGCTCTGGTTTTGGACCTGGACTACCCCACGCTGCGCAAGAACAAAAACATTGATACCTTCTTAACCAGATGTAAGTGTTAATAAGTGTTAATAATAATTAATAAGTGTTTTTTTAAGTAATCACACAGCAGAATCTGTTTTTTTCTTTCTCTCACATGTTGTTCAAACTTTATGCAAACTTTATTCTTCAGATGAAAAAGTCGTGGGACAGATCCGAGACCTCCAAATGAAGTCTGAGGACTTCGATAAAGTGAAAATCATCGGGCGTGGAGCTTTTGGTGAAGTCCAGCTGGTCAGTTCTGATGACCTGAATTATAAACTAATCATTAATGTGTTACTCAGTCTTAAAGAACTGGTGCTCAAAGGGTTCTGGCCTTATATATTTTCAGATTTAACTTATTATTAATGTGTTAATCAGTCTTAAAGGTGCTCAAAGGGTTCTGGCCTTATATATTTTCAAATTTAACTCATTATCAATGTGTTCATCAGTCTTAAAGGTGCTCAAAGGGTTCTGGCCTTATATATTTTCAGATTTAACTAATTATTAATGTGTTAATCAGTCTTAAAGAACTGGTGCTCAACGGTTTCTGGCCTTATATATTTTCAGATTTAACTAATTATTGATGTGTTAATCGGTCTTAAAGGTGCTCAAAGGTTTCTGGCCTTATATATTTTCAGATTTAACT